ATATCTTCTCGCGTAGTTGTCTTAAAAGCTTACCTGGCCTGTAGAAACAGCATTATCGAAACTGCTAAGAAAGCGGTCGCCATGTAAATCCAGACGTCGGTTGACAACGGCGACAGAAACGAGAACAGATCCGGTTCCTTCTCCTCCGGTTTCCTGTATAAAATGCTGATACCTAGCGAACGTATCGGATAAAATAGCATTGTCGTCAGATTTATCGTGTAAATGGGACGCGCGATAAGGAATTAGAAACGCCCGTACCTAGGTTCATGAACGGCATTGTAAAATCGACCGCGCTCTCGCGCTCGTACGTAATTGTCAGATCGCAAATAGCCAGATCCGCATCCTGAAAAGGATCCCTGCATCCTTATTCCGTTTAATCGAATGTAAGATAAACTTTATATACACGGGAACAATTACGTACGTGATCCAATAAACGTCTAATCAGGCCATTCCATTGTTTCGTTTCCTTGTTCAACGTGCCGTAATTACCGTCCGGCACCAGCTCGAACTCATATTTAAAATTTAACAATTTGGCAATCTCCTCGATGAGATCGATGCAGAAGCCTTCGTAACGCTTTTGTTCGATTAATATTCCTCGAGTCGCGCTGTCTGTCACTTCCATTACGTACGGTGGACCCTGATCAATTATCATTAATTATTATTGATTAACAAGGGTACAATTATTAGCAATAAAAAAATATCATCCGAGAATTTTTTTTATATATTCATTCGTAAATTTCTTTCCAATTGCAAAAATTGTACTCGAATTTTCATCAAGATATATCGATATATCTTAATCAATAATTTTTTAATTCGAACAGATTGTGTATTACTTACTAATTTAGTGCTAATCTTGAATTTCTTCTGTTCAATAGATTTATACAAATAACTCTCCCGTTCCTTTTCGTTGTCGGCCGCGTGAAGACCTTCTGGATCCCAATATCCTATTTCCACGCTCTCATCTTGTCTCACGTCTATGATCTTTAACTTGAAGAATTGGCGTTGACCATTTTCGTCGATTGTAATCGGCCCTGTTATCTTTCCCTCTTTGGATAGCTATAGAAATCATTAACAATTTTTTCTTTCTTTATTTACAGAGAAATTTTAGGAGGATATATTTGAATTTCTTACGAGCGAAATAACATTGTGCATAAAATTGTGATTAAATTAATCATAATTCAAGCTAATTTGAACTAGGCTTTAAGTGTTTACGTTGCAAGAAAAATAGTTTCAAGAAAACTTTACCTCGCGTATCACGTTGGTAATGTTGGGACCTGCGTTGTATTTCTCTTCTCCTTCACAAGAGAGCGGTACTGGGTCAATAGTTTCACCCTCTGTGTTATCCTGATTCCTTGCGTTTAAAGTTTCCAGCGCGTTATACACCAGGAAGACGGAATCATATAAAATGGCCGATTCCACCTTTTTAAAGTAATATCTAATTAATTACAACGAAATTACACGATTTCCATGACATCATGAACTACTAAAACTGTACAATTATCCAAGCAATTTCAAGAAAACTCAAATCAATCGATTTTGAATTAATTTAGAAATTTTTCAATTAATTTAAAGTCTTCAATATATCATTAGCAAGATTGTTATAACCGATGTTCTTCCAGAAATAAGCACGTTTATCATTTAATTTATCTAAACCTGATTAAACCTTATTAAAATTAGAAAAAATTTAAATCGCTATAATTCTAAAGATAGTGATTTCTGGTCAATGAATAAATAATTAGAAACGTTGAATCTTATCCTTTAAAATATTTTTTGAATTATCTCGATATATGATTTTCATCGAGAGATATCATTTTTTGATCTCTCACTCACGTCTCATTGACCTATCCCAAATTCCAGACGAGTAACAATCGCGATTCTTAGAAAAATATAATATTTCCAGGAAAAAACTCGATCGATAGAATTCATAATTTCTGCCTATATTAAATACTTATGGAAATTTCGAATCCTTTCAACATTTTGACAACCAATTGAAATATGAAAGAGAAGACTTCGATGGCATTTCCTCTATTTTCTGAACGAGTTTCGATGACAAAATTTTTATTTCTTTTCCTTCGAAAAGATTTACACGAAAAATGATGGTTTCATTTGTGACTTTACACGATTGCAACGATTTGTTGTTGGAGATACAAAGCGTATACAAAGATACATAATTTAGAATATATTTCACGGATTGTACGATATATTTTCTACGTAATATTTGTACAATTCAACTACAATCCGCTCATAACCAACCACTAATTAATCTCTCTAAGAATTGAATACGAAAATTCCTGTAATCCCTGTTCCATACCCTGGAACAGAGAATTTTACTTAATCCGACATTTTGTAATTCAGACCCTTCGTTTCGTTTGCACGAAGTAACAAGATGTTAGCAACGATCCGTTCTAATGAGAAATGAAACGTTAAGCCGTCCAATTTCCCAGAATTATAAAACAACACGATTAAACGTTTCATTGCACAGCGCGTTTGCATACAGGAGAAAGCATATTGCTCGCGTTCGTGCACTCGGCCCACGATACAAAGCGGATCGGCGAGGGCTAATGAAACGAAAATTAAGGGAGGCCGTCAGCTGTTCGCAAGTATCATGTCGCGGCTAGATTTTCCGGAAAACGAAAGGCATCCTCGAACACGAGAGTGCAACTTCATTATATCGGCTAGTTAATGAAGAAATTATCTTATAATTGCAAGACCTTGTGCTCCTCCATTCAGGCGATTCTGAGAATGCAAGGAACGTTTGAAGAAGACACGAATATAGTTCGAGGATGTAGAAACGTCTAATTTGCAATAATTTTATTTTTAAATTTTATTATTCACAACGAAGATTGCTTTAACATTGTAATGTAGAACTATAACTAAGAACTTGCTTAATCTTCGAATGTTTTCGAACAAAAGAATTTTCTTCTGGAGACCTTTAATTCGAGAGAAACCGAGGGATCCTCTTTAAGATAATATCGAAGATTCGTTTATCTTCTACTTTTTTAATATTCGATCACTCGATTGATCATATCGATGCTCTTTATATTAGCTCTTTGCGTGGAATTTAATATTACGAAGGGAGCGAAGGAAAATTCAAAGGAACGACGAATTTAATTTTTAACGAAAACGAAAAATATTGAATTGAATTATTATATCCTATAATATCAATCTTCGAGGGTGACCATGCTCTCTTATAAATGAATCATTCACGAGATTTCTATTCGTTCACCGATTCGTTCGAAAAGAAATATCATTTAAGAAAATTATGGAAACATTCTTGAGAATTCGATGTCATTTTACCAAGTACCAATTCGTGAAGATTCACTTTATAATCCACGCTCATTACCAAAAATATCAAAAATACCGACGCTTGAAATATTTGTCCGCCACTTGGCGAGCGCGAAGGAAATATCGGCGAATATTATCATTTCATTATCTACCTATCTTAATTATATATCCCTATACAGAAAATTGGATGGAAAATAAATTCATCGGAAGAATTATACGTTTATATTTACCCAATTAATTCCTTCCACCTCGTTTCCTTTCTCGTTTCGCAAATTCAGTCCAGTAATATTGATCGTTGATTCTTCCTGCACCTCCCACAGGGACAATTTTGCCGAATCCTAGAATAAATTCGTAAAAAAAAAAAAAAAAGAAAAAGAAAAAAAATTCTTAATCGTATCAACAACATTACAATATAAAACAAAAACGAAGAAAAATAACATAAGTGGCGATCGCATTGCTCACCCTGTATACATACGCGCGCGAGCTACATCTATACATATATAACACAAGTACGATTCTCATCTTTATCCAAGACATAATTTTAAAAAGTGTCGATTGCCAGCCGCACCCCATTTCTATTTGGCGGCGGAGCCAAGCTTTCGAGCCGCGCTGTCATCTATCTCGGATGCCCCCCTCTCTCTCTCCCTCTCTCTCTCTCCGAATTCATCGCTGACCACCGAAAAAACGATCGGTCATCGTCGATAACATGCATACACGTGTCTCGACCCGGATTCGAGAACACCAATCGTGAAACTTGGAATGTTAAGCGGCGGACCCTTCGAGGGGTCGTTCGCCTTCTTCTTGTCTCTTGGTGCAACAAGCGAGAAATAACTTGGAAACTCCGCGCTAACTATAAGAAGTGTGTCTGCAAACGAACGAATCTGCGGAAGCGACTCGATGGTTCGTTGACTCCCTCGTTTTTCCTTCTCGAATTTCTCTTATTTCGAAATATACGAATCCTATTTTATAGGGAAACGTCTCGATTCAACGTGTCTGCTCCAATGATTTATGACGAGATGATAATATTCGAACGGGATTAAAAAAATGCACGATACACGAATGTAACGAAAATAAAGGGAGGAGGAGGAGGAACTGTCACCAAAGTTCGCGATTATCGAATACTATTGTTACGAACGAGTTATAATATAATATATGATGGCAAGAAAGTTGTTGCTGCGAGGCGTAACGAAGTTTGGACGCTAATTTTCAATCTACCCGCGCTGCACGAGCTATCCCCCAATTACAAAGTTGCAATCTGTCCGAACTTATCAAGTCAATCTTTTTAATCCATGGTAAAAAGTTTAAAGCGAATCTTCACTTTCTTCACAGATTATAACCTCCTCTTCAAGGACTAATTATCCAGGGTACGATATAGCATTATATCGCGCTCGTTCAATTAAAATTTCTTCGATCGCGCGCACAACCCTTTCCTCCGCAATTAAAACGAGCGTTTGCCGACTCCGTTAAAGTCGAAAGTCCGCTCCGCTTCAGGATTATCGAATATAATCGTGGGATAGTGGGGACGTTGACGTTGACGTGGGTCCAGTTCCCCGGGTTCCGTTCTCTAACATCGTTCAACGAGCCGCGTCTTCCACGAATTTCTCGATAGCTCGGACAAATATAGATGCACCGTGAAATTCCACGCGAATCCATACGACACGCCACGCCTTCCCTTCCCTTCCCTTTCCATTCCCGCCTCGTTTCTCCGTACACACAGGACAAATTTCGAATATTTGCGAAGCGCATGGCGAAACGTTCGAATAACTCTCTGTCAAAGCGATCAAAGTGTTCCTTCTTTAAAACGTTAAAACGTTTTGGAAAGAGGGGAGGGCCTCGAAACGTATAGAAGATTTGACCGCTTCGACGACTCGTTCATAGAAATGGACACTTGAAGCGTAACGAGTCAAGATATATCGAAAAACGTAATACTTTGTGGATAAGTAATTTCTGTAAAGAAATAATAGAATTGAAACGATGGTCGAACGAGTTCTCGACCTTCTTCGAACGTAGCTCTAAAAAGGACACAGCCTTCGTTCTCTTTTCCAGTCCAACTCCCCCGGTAAATCGCACGAGTTCCCTCTAACTTTGCATTGTCTTTGGGTACGCGCACGCTTCGACGCGACAAAAGGGGCGCTTCTACGCGTCACCCGGAGGACGTCGAGTTGTTCCGCTTTGAAACAAAGAAAGAAAAAAAAGGAAAGGAAAGGCAAAAAAGGAAGAAAAGAGGGATTCGAGGGGAGAGAGAGAGAGAGAGAGAGAGAGGAAGAGACATACGTAGAGAAAGAGAGAAAAGGAAACGATACGCCTCGCGCGAAAACCCTCGACTCGCCGCGAACGTCGTTATTTATGAAGGTATTGTTACGTGCCCGGTGGTAATGCGTCATAAAAAGCGGATTCCAGGGTGCGGTGGTGAACGAAGGAATGTTCAGACGGCACGCCATTACCGGCGTATCGTTGAAAACAATTACTCGGAGCAATTTATGGGTACGTTTAATAAAAAGGCTGGCAATTGTAACCGGCTAATGCAGTTACTACGCCCGGGGTGAACGTGACCGCGACACGTTCCATGGATTTATTAATGAAATTCCCTTGGAAAAGCCGCGGTCGGGGAAACCGCGAGCGTTATCTCCGCTAACTGCCCGGCCTCGACGAGAAAATCTTGCAGGGTGACGACGTGCTCTCGAATGCTGCGATGATTTTTAAGCGAGACGTCGAAAGATTTATCCTGGCATTTTTTTCAAACATTTTTTATGGATGGATGGATGGATGGACGGACATTTCTGGTTACGATTTATCAACGATTTTTCTATACTTGATTTCGATTCGTTCGTTTGTTTCGTGATCTAAATGCGATCTTTGGGACGCATGGCGGTGAATTAGTTTTTTTACATACTTCATAATGTAAACACATTTGACAAATTTTACGCCACCCACCGGAATTTTCAATTTCCAGCTTTTGTCCCAGTGAAATTAGGAGAGGAAATGTCAAACCGATGTCGCGGAATACGAACCCACCACTTTCGTATGGATGCCCCCGTTTGTTCAAACACGTAAATCTCCCTTCATCGTGATATTTAAACTTCGTTACGTTTACGCTTGGACAAATGAATTTTCCAAAAAAATATGCTCGTTACGAAAAGAAAAAAAAAATGAAATAAAATGAAATGAAATGAAACGCGAGGAAACGCGTTTAGAGTTTACTTGGAGAGACGAAATACGAATGTGGGGGGGGTAAAATATTCGCGCATGTTGCGAAGATAAACTCGTTCTAAACAAAGAGAGAGGAGAAAATAGATCGGGATTTCATCTCGAATTTTCCTCCAAGTTTGATCCAACGTGATCCACTTTTCCTCCGTCGTTAAGATTAAATTATGGTAGATTGGTCGATCGTGAGATGAATCGAGTTTCCGAGTGGAGGAGATCGTACGCATATAAAGTAGAATGTGGCGTAATACCAGGTAAGTAATTAAGAAATTACAGTACTCCGCCAACAGCTTGACCTCCTTCGCCTGATAGAGCACATCGATGATGTTCCTCGGCTCGACGTCGATGATCACGTTGCAGATCGACATGGCACGAATCTCCTTCAGTATCGGACGAAAATCCGGCCCTTCCCCCAACCTTCTTATCGTCACCGCAGTGTCCTTCTTTCGTCTCAGAGACAGAGCCTTTTGAATCCGCGACAGGCCGTCGTTGTTTTGGTAGACGGCCGCGAAAGTGGTCCACTTCATGGATTCGACCACGTCGGCGATCGCCTGGGCAAAATTTTCATTCATTCTGGTACAATGATTTATATTGATATTCGATAATCTGTTTCTGGCCAGGCTTGTTAAAGTTAATTTAATGATACATGATATAAAAGGGAAAGGATTATGCGATGCAAGATACGACAAAGATATCACGAAAGTGGGCCGATATTCTTCAACGATCGTTTTTTTACAAAATTCATGTTCACAAATTGAGGCAGAAAGAAAATTGAGAAATCAGTTTATGCAAACGTGAATTTGCATAAACTTTTAAATCTGGGGAAAATCGTGGGGGAATTCGTTATACACTCGGATCGTTGTCGGTCGAGAAAACGAACGTCGAACGCCGTACGCGATAAATTAAGGGAAGACTGCGGTTAGATGCGAAAATTCGACGAATGGAAATTTCTTTCTGCGAAACGGGCGTAAAAATGGCGTGAAATAGGCGTCGCGTTGCCACCGAAATAAAAGAGAGGGAGAAAAATCGAACGAAATGAAAAAAAATCTTCAAAGGACGTATGGATGGGAAAATATTGAAATATTTTTACGTTTTTCCAGCGCGAAAGAATTTTTTTTTTTTTTTTTGATAAAATCATGATATCTCGCGGATCGACAGTTCGAAGAGCGAGGGTGAGTCGGGGGAAGAAATTGGCGTGCGTGAAATTACGATATTTGCGACGATGAAGATTAAATACGATGAGATAAATTGACGGATACTCGATATATTTGAAAATCTGGTTAATTTAAAACTCGTCGTGTTCCTTCCCCAAAGCGGCAATTGATTTGAAGAAGCGCGTGATAAATTTGACGCGCATTAATCGCATTAATCGTATAAATAATTCGATTGCTTTATCCGCGCATAACGAAGGCCATTTTAATATTCTTAGCCTCATAAGCTTGTAACGAGCATCGATATATAATTCGATGTAATCTTCTTATTGATCGCCTATGGACGATAACATTCAATCGTTTAATCGTTTCTCTTTCCGTTTCCACGTATTTCGCGCGTTTTTTTACATAACGGCTTCCTTTATATTCCCATTTCCCCGTTTCTTCGCTCTTCGACGCGATCGTATTTACGCATGGCATACGAGCGAGCGCCACGCGCTGCGCCAATTTAACCACAGGATTTAAACTAACCTAACACAGCGGGAGGAACGCTTTAATTGCGCTATAAAGATCGAAACGGTGAGTAATCCTTTACGCCCGCCACGCTCGTTCGTCGACAATTTTAATTAAAGCTTAATCGGTGGAGGGGGGGGAAGTACCCCGCCTCGATTCGTCTCAACTTGGTTTTCGTTTGTTTTCCCGCGTCCGTGTGAAAAGAGCGGGGGGAGAATAAAAACTCATCCGGCCGTCGTCGTTAGCCGTCGTCGAAGTTCGGTCTTTGATCGCGCTCATTAGCCTCGACTAGCCGGTTTAATGCGCCAGCTACTTCAAACCCGTTCGATTTGCCTCGTTAAACGAGTAATTTAAAATTGCATCGAAACGCGCCACCTTTGCTCCCCCTTTTCTTCGCTCCTCGCCATTTTTCCTTTAAACGATTTCCTTCCCCGACCATCGACCCGTAAAGGTGTCGCGCATTTGTGCGTACGTATACACGTAAAAAAAAAAAAAAAAAAAAAAAGGAAAAA